TATATATATATATATATATATATATATATATATATATATATATATATATATATATATATAAAAGATCTTAACTAATATTTTTCAACAAAACCTTGTTTTCTTGGAAAGTCTTTTGTGTGATAATTTTTTCAATAATAGTGACTTAATGCGTTAAGTCGTTTATATTAAAATGCTTTTGAAAAAAAAATCTTTAAGAAACATACATGTAGGAGGAGTAGATATGTAGATTTTTGTGTCATGCACACATGTATTATCAAAGGAGTTGGAGGTGAGAAGCAGACACAATTTCAATAAGCAGCGATGGATCACGGTGGTTCAAGGATCCTATTGGGGTTTACATGTAGGTGTCGCAACAATATCCTCTTTCATTGGAAGAGTAGAAGAAGAATATTTTGTTAAAAGATGATAAACTAACAATGATCCTTGTCCATTTTTTGGTTCGAACGTGTATGAAATTGACGATGTTTCTAATTTTGGTACGATGAAGATGGTGAGAGCATTGTCTGGTTCGAACAAATATCTTGGTTAAGTTAATTGTTAATTACAAATGGTGAAACACCTCAACTAAGATTTGTGAAGTCTTTCGTTGACTTACATAGGGGTTGTTTGTTTTGGAAGTGGTTAAGTCTCTTTTGACTTTTTTCATGTTTGCAGAAGAAGATGTGCACTTGAGAAACATCTACCCGTCAGGGAAAAATGCTCAAAAAGTATTTTTGTAGAAAAACAAACGAGACCATAATGTGTTATTCATATGCTACTAAGAAATTGCAACAAATGATTTTCCCGATAATTGTAGTAGTGATGTTCATGGTGGTGGTGGTGATGTCCACGGTGGAGATGGTGTGAGTAAAGGTGCAATGGGTTGTGTGTTGGTCGAGACTGTTGATAATGTGGGTGTTGGGGTTGAATCAGCAAAAGAAAGAAAGGAGTGGTAAGAGATGCGGTTTGTATGTGATCCTTTGTTACTATAATTAAACAAATAGAATTTATAAATTTAAAAGCAAAATGATCATTTATATATATTTACCTCTCCTCTAATGCAGTAATGCTGTGTGTTTTAAAAACCAAATCTATATTTTTGTAATTTAAAACTATTTTTGCAAAGCACAAGTATTTTTACAATTTTAAAATACTTTTGCAAACCAAAAAGATATTTTGGCCAGTTTTCTCTTTGAAAAAATGCGTGGACCTAAAGCATGCACGAAAATCCTCCTATATTTAGCCCATTAAATAAACTAGAAAGAAAAATCTTAGTAAACGTAGTAGTCCACTAAATAGGCTACCGATGTGATGCTCTTGGTGAAAGTTTGAAAAATTCGTAGTGGGTTCCATATAATATTAAAAGAATACCGGATTCAAAATCTATCCATAAGCAAATTGCTTTTTTATCGTTCAAAAAAAAAAAAAAAAGTCTAAATACTGTGTAATCAATTTTTAAGTCGATCCATAGACCCGACTACTAACACAACACTATGAAGCCGCCATGCATTTGTATAAATATAATGATATCTCTGTAGTTTGTATCATCACATTCATAATTCTATCGTAGAAAACATGGAGTTGTTTCTCCCGTATTCTATGAGCATAGCAGCCATCTTTTTTGCTATTCTGCTACAAATCTTGAAAGGAATTAAGAGCGGAAACAAAGCGAAGAACAGAAAAGCACCAGAAGCAAAGGGCAAATGGCCTGTAGTCGGACACCTACACCTTCTCGGCGGACCTGAACCACATCACATTACTTTAGCTAACATGGCAGATACATATGGCCCTATCTTCACCATCAAGCTTGGTGTTCACAATGCTTTGGTGGTGAGTAATAGCGAGATAGCAAAAGAGTGCTTTACAAAAAACGACAAAGCCTTCTCAAGTCGACCCAAGTTAATGGCAGTAGAACTCATGGGCTATAACTATGCGATCTTTGCACTAGCTCCGTATGGGGCCTACTGGCGCCAAGTGCGCAAAATCATCATGCTCGAGGTTCTCTCTACACGAAGAGTGGAGATGCTTGGGCCTGTTCGATCTGCAGAGCTTAGAGAATCCATGAAAGATCTATACGACGTTTGGGTAAAGAATAAAGATGAGAGTGGAAGTAGTTCAGATATGGTGAAGGTGGATATGCAACAATGGTTTGGGAACTTGGTATTAAATAGTCTTATTAAGGTTGTCACAGGAAAGAGGTTTGCTCTCGATGATGAAGAAGGGATTCGATTTCGAAAAGTGGCAAACAGATTCTTTCAGTTATTGGGCGGATTTGTGGTGTCTGATTATATTCCATCTCTCAAGTTTCTAGACATAGGAGGATACAAGAAAGAAATGATAATCACAGGACAAGAAATGGACAACTTCTTTGATCAATGGTTAGAGGAGTACAAAAGAGAGAGAGAGTCTAAGCAGCAAAATGAACGCGACAAAGTCCTCATGGATGTGCTGATTTCCATTCTTGAAGGTGCCTCCGAAGAGGAATTCCCCGGTCATGATCATGCTACCATAATCAAGGCCACATGTTTGGTAAACTTATTACTTCATATCATTATTTAGTCATTTATACATTTTCAAAGTTATAGAAATATTTTACTACATTATAAGTCGTGTAAATAATAACAAAATTATCATGCATGCATGTTGCTTAATTGTAACCTGATCCTTTTTTTTTGTAGACCATGGTTATTGGGGGATTGGACTCAACATCTGTGGCTTTAACATGGGCTTTGTGTTTATTGCTCAACAACCCAAGAACTTTAAAACTTGCTCAAGATGAAATTGATGAGCATGTTGGAAGGAAGAGACCAGTAGAAGAGTCAGACCTGAAAAACTTAGTCTACATGGATGCAATCTTGAAAGAAACACTCCGTTTATACCCACCTGGACATCTCGGCCTTCCAAAGGAGACCTTGGAGGATTGCATTGTTCAGGGCTACAACATCCCCAAAGGAACACGTGTGATGTTGAATCTCTGGAAACTTCATCGTGATCCTAACATATGGCCAAATCCCACCGAATTTCTTCCGGAAAGATTCTTGACAACTCATAAAGATATTGATCTCAAGGGACACCATTTTGACTTGCTTCCTTTCGGTTCTGGCAGAAGAGTGTGCCCTGGTATTTTATTTGCTATGCAGGCTACACGTTTAGCGTTAGCTACTTTAATACAACAATTTGAGCTTAAAACCCCATCAAATGAACCCGTTGATATGAAAGAAATCTTTGGAGTGACTTGCAGCAAAGCAACCCCACTTGAGGTCCTTATCTCTCCCCGTTTACCCCTTGATATGTACCCTGTTGGTGCATGAGATTTCAACTGTATTCGAGGAGGAACTTTGAACCGCTATCATCTTTTTTTAAATAATTGTAGTTTGTAATAATGGCTCTCTATGCGCTATGTTCTGCTATGTTATGTTTTGTTAAGTTAGTATTTTGTTTAGTTTCTATATATGTAAAAGCTCTTGTTTATCTATCTTTAGTTTGCTTGTAAACTTGGGTACATGGATATGCCCAAATTAACCTTTTTAGTCATTGCATGCGAATAATGTTAAAATTAATGGGCAAACACCATTCATCACGCTGCTTGTACAATTAATTTATATAGCATCACGTGGCTTCTCCTAAACCAAGTTATTATTTCTTCATCTGTCATTTTTGGAAATAAATAATGGGGATAGATGTAGGGACGGACCCAAAATAATTTCGAAGAAGGTACAAAAAGAAAAGAAAATTAAAAAAAAAAAAAAAAAAAAGTTA